GCGCTATGGAGGCAATTTACTTTGGCATTGGCGGCTATCAGGGTTCTGGTAACGGGCCCTGGGTCCAGGCTGATCTTGAAAACGGCATGTTTTCTGGCAGCGGCCGATCAAAAAACGAGGATAACCACAGTATGCCTGACAAATTCGTGACTGCAATCGTCAAGGGCGACAAGGGTAACCACTGGGCTATTCGTGCTGGAAATGCTTCAGAAGGCGCGCTCGAAACAATGTATGACGGCGAGCGCCACGATAGCAGCTATAGTCCTATGAAGAAGCAGGGTGCCATTGTTCTTGGCATTGGTGGCGACAACAGCGACAGAGGTCAGGGAACGTTCTACGAGGGTGCAATAACGTCCGGTTATCCATCTGACGACACTGAAAACAAAGTGCAGGCCAACATTGTTGCTGCAAAGTACGCAGCCACCAGCCTTATCAGTGCCAAATGGTCATTCCATATTGGTCAGTCCATCTCTCTGCGCGCGACAACAGACTGCTGCAACACACGGTACATCACCCACATCGGCGAAGATGTCAAAACAGAGTTGGTCTCATCCTCCAGCAGCGACGACCTGAAGAGGCAGGCCAGTTTTGTTGTTCACACTGGCCGGGGTAGCAAGGACTGCTACTCATTTGAATCATGGGACCAGCCCGGCAGCTGGCTCCGCCATTCCAACTACCAACTCAAGGTTGATAAACCCCCTACAGAAGAAGCTACCGATATACAGCAGTTCAATGAGGATGCCACATTTTGCCCACAGACTGGCATTAACGGAGACGGCCACTTCTCGATGCGCTCCTGGAGTTACCCTACTCGCTATTGGCGTCATTACAACGGCGTTCTCTACATTGCTAGCAATGGAGGTCCTCATGACTTTGATGCCAAGTACTCGTTCAACGACGATGTTAGCTGGGATGTCACCCAAGGATTTGCCTAATGGTGTAGAGTTTAAGATTGATGCCGCATACCTTGTGTTCAATATTTGAGGGCATGGAAGACGCCTATGTACATAGAACCTTGTCATTATACCTATAGACAGCGACTAATAAGAATTGTTTCACTTCGAATCGGTCAAGCACAGAAACTCACAGAATAATAATTATTATTAACCTCGCAATGTCGTTGTTTGGTAGTTTTTAGTTGTACTAGTTGTGAACCTTACTTTTTAGAAATTAGTCGTCAACTGGTGGGAGTAGTGTGTGACGATAGGCTTGCCTATAACCAGATTGGCTATGTTACTAGTTGTCGAGTTCTGGTCCGGAAAACAATACAGGAGCTTCTTCTATAATGATTATGTCTCTTTTTAATATATTTACATGTAATTGGTCAAATTCTTCACTTCGGCCTTGGCCAATCGAATAACCACAATATTAGACTCTAGGAAGATCCACTCTGGGTGTAAGCATAGCAGTAAATTCACTATTGTAGCGCTATACCGTCGATCCCAGAGAGTATTCTAAACCCTGCGTATTAAACACTGCGTATCTATCCATACACCGGGCCAGATGGGGGAAATACAGAATGCGTAGGGTGCTGATACTCTGTAATACAGGGTATAGTATAGTAATTAATTAGCCCTACGCTAGGAAGAGGTTGGCCCTGGCTGATTCGCTATCATCGTGTCAAGCTCGGTCGTGATTTTAGCGTTATAGAGCATATTCTACGTTGTCAGATGCAGCTAGGTTGGACATTGGACAATGATATATTATGTATTGAGGACTGTATTAGGAATAGCCTCATGGTCCAGGGTAAGCTGCTTGACGCGGACTAGGCCTATCTTGGCCACCAACGTACGGAGTACTCTGTACTGGCGAATAAGCTATTTAAATGGTATATAACCCTGCATATTTCACAATCCTACGCGTCCGCCCTAGAACCTCGGCTCCATCCCGTAATCTATAACCTCGGCTCTTGCTCTATTACAGGAAGCTGCTAACAACAACCATGAATACCAACACCACTATATAGCGTTCCATCGCGAACAGCTTTGAACTCTAACTCAAGTTTTGAGCCCTGTTTTTTAGAATGTTCAAGGCACTCAGCAGTCGCCGGACGTCTGAAGCGCTTCGAGAAATCGAAATCACGAAGCTATTCAACGCAAGTCTCACACCAAAATCCAACTCGTGATTTTATAGCTGATAGACAACAGAGCATGGGAACGACGGTGAGAAACGCACGGAAGAGCAGCAGGTCTGCTTTGCCAGCAGGTTCGCGTTGAAATTACCGGATCCCGAGTCGGAAAGATACCTGACGAAGAATATAGGTCACAAGGAAGACCCGTTCAAAGGGCCAATGCTCCGCTTCGAAGAATCCTTACCAAAACTCCCTGTCCCGCCTCTCGAAGAGACTGCAGCGAAATATCTCAAATCCGTTCAGCCGCTCCTCTCGAGTTCCGAACTAGCATCAACTACCAAGGCCGTCCAAGATTTCATCCGGCCCGACGGCGTGGGTCACAAGCTTCAGGAAAAGCTGATTGCTCGCCGCAATGATCCAAAGATCAGGAATTGGTTATACGACTGGTGGAATGATGCGGCATACCTTGCTTACCGAGATTCAGTGATATATTCCAGCTACTTCTATTCGCACCGCGATGACCGAAAGAGGCGTATTCCCTCGAAGCGCGCGGCAGCAATTTCTACCGCGGTGTTGGAGTTCAAGAAACAAGTCGATCAAGGTACCCTGGAGCCCGAGTACGCAAAGACGCAACCCATGGCTATGGACAGCTACCAATGGCTGTTCAATGTCTCTAGAGTGCCCGCTAGACCATCGGATTATCCCGTCAAATACTCTTTCACTGAGCACAAGCACATTCTTGTCATACGCAAGAATCAGTTGTTCAAAGTACTGCACGAAGTTGATGGAAAGCAGCTGAATACTGCGGAACTGGAACAGCAATTTGAGCGAGTCTACGCAAAGGCAGAAAAGGGACCTGCTCTCGGTGCCTTGACTACGGAGCACCGCGATATCTGGACTGACGCAAGAGAAATTTTACTGAGAGCGCACCCCTCCAATGCAAAAGCCCTGAAAGAGGTGGAGTCTGCTTCATTCGTTGTATGCTTGGATGATGCTTCACCTGTGACATTGGAAGAAAGGGCACATCAGTATTGGCATGGTGATGGGGCAAACCGTTGGTACGACAAACCTGCGCAATTTATTATCAACGACAACGGCACTGCTGGGTTTATGGGTGAGCATGCGATGATGGACGGTACCTCAACCCTCCGGCTGAATGAATTCGTCAACAACGTCGTCTTCAAAAACACACTCGATTTCTCGGACTCATCCGTCCGCTCCCACCTCCCAGATCCCACACTCATCCATTTCCACGTTACCAAGGAGCTCCAAGCCGAGATTGAACGGGCCCAAAAGGACTTCAATGAAGTCATTGACGCCCATGAACTGCGAGTCCAAGCCTACCAAGCCTATGGCAAAGGGTTGATCAAGAAGCTCAAATGCTCTCCCGATGCATACGTCCAAATGATTATTCAACTGGCCTACTTCAAAATGTACGGAAAGAACAGACCTACGTATGAGTCCGTCATGACTCGACGCTTCCAGCAAGGACGCACAGAGGCCTGTCGATCGGTCTCTGCCGAATCTGTGGCTTTCTGCAAAGCCATGGCCGATGATTCTCTCGATGCAAGCGAGAAGGCCGTCTTGTTTCACAAAGCTTTAAAGGCACACGTGGCCTACGTTGCTCAAGCGTCCGTTGGTCAGGGGGTTGATCGGCATTTGTTTGGATTAAAAAAGCTGCTGGGCCCCGATGATGAGGTTCCGGCCATTTATCAGGATCCTGCGTACGCCTACTCTAGCACATGGTTCATCTCTACCTCGCAACTCAGCTCGGAGTTCCTCAACGGATTTGGCTGGAGCCAAGTCGTCGATCCTGGGTTTGGAATCGCCTATATGATCAACGAAAACAGGTAAGTCTCCCTCAGGATGTACCAAAGTGTCGATTGCTAATAGCATATAGCATTAATTTCAATATTATCTCCAAGAAGCTGGGAAGCGACAGGATGAGCTTCTACCTCAACGAGGCTGCAGGGGACATTCGAGATCTTCTACTCTCCACCCTCGAGCCTGCCAAGGCGAAGCTATAAACATTAAAACAGACAAAAAAGATGGATTCCACCATGTCTTGTAGCCGGGCGAATGGTATTGCCAGCACTTCCGGGTTTTCATGTCTCCAACTTCTACCTTTCCAGCGGTAACCCTGCCCGCGTGTAAACTGCTTTTGTTTTTGTTATTTTTTATAATTAGATGCAGTATTACTAGATGTCTATGGAAATTATATAAGTTACAACGGTCGGGCGAGCCCGCGAGAAGGGTAGCCAAAGATTGGACTATTGCGCGGTAGGCACAGGAGTAATGACCCGTGACCAGCATAGGTCTGTGGCCCGGTGGGAGAAACCAAATTAGATGCAGGAGAGGGGGTGCAAAACGATGGGCATATATGTATTAAGTGATAGTAAGTTGTTCATTCTTATATTAATACATATGGGGTGACTGACAAATATATATACACGTTTCCAGTCCCTGCGATACTGTTTCAGCCACTGGGATATTCGAGAGTGTGCAGATTTATGTGTCCAGACATGGCTTGTTAGGCCCAAGTCCATGTTAGTGCAGCTAGAAGTGTGAATGCGTAGAAGTAAATCGACGACGCCGCAGGGCTTCCCACTACCGCCTCGCTGTATAGAGCCTCAGTGGCAGATTTTCCAAATCCTGATGGAAATTATTACCGACGTTCGCAGCAAGATTTCTGTACGCAGGTCTTTACAAATAAAGACTTGCTGCCCTTCATTTAGTTCTCTTGGTCAGTTATCGTCTTTTTTAAATTTCCAACAGTCTTTCACTGCGCTTCGCTCGATTTTAGGCCGTAACATGTATAACTTAGTTTTATTTATTCTTATATAATCGCTATACTGCTTTAGAAGATTTTCATATATAAGATGAGAAGGATTAGTAATGTAACGGATTTTGAGGTCTCAAACAACAACAAGGCAACGTGGCCGAGCGGTTAAGGCGCTGTGTTCAGGATCCCACAACGAGGTACTCTTCGCAGTTCGAAAGAGCGCGCGTTCGAATCGCGCCGTTGTCAATATCTTTTTATATTTTTAATATTTTTTTCAAATATACATCTATGTAAATAATTTTATTATAAATAATCAAATAATTAACCGTGGTGCTACATTTAAAAAATCAAGATTCGACGTTTGCAGTGTAGTTATGTGAGCACGGCCGATTATGTAATTCCGTTTTTTAACGCTGAGTCGGTGCGCACCCAAACCGAGAGCGGCGGTTGCAACATCCCAGCGACAAATTATTGTAATTCAGCACACAGCTGTGTAAAAATTTCAGTGAGCGCATTGTCATTCGCTAGCAAAAAGTAAAAGTAATTTGCATTGAAAAAAATATATAAAAAAAAGAACTTGATAACGACGCGATTCGAACGCGCGCGGACTTGCGTCCATCAGGAGACTCATATTAAGGTGTGACCTTAACCTGACGCTAATGAATTTATTAGATATTGTCGGAAAGACAGTGTGTGGAGATAAGCTTACCCATAACCAACTCGGCCACGTTACCCGGTTGATAATACCAATGCGGGAAGTGTTACAGGAGCTTCTTCCATCATGCTACCTTTATGTGTTTATATATAATTGGTCAGATTCTTCACTTCGGCCCTCATAATATCTGACAAAACGCCAACTGCGGCTAATTAACCGCTAGCTTGGCGCTTGCATGGGGTGCCAAGACATTGTCGCGTCGTGTCACGTGGACTTTTTGCTGCGCGATTCACAGACCGGACGATTTCACGTCGATCAAGTCTTCCTTCAGCGCCTCACCTCTACAACGCAGATTTACCAGCTGCAAAATTTGTCGCTTTGCGTAAATCGCATTTCGAAACAAATTTTATACGATATATACTGCGAGATCTGCCCTTTCAGTCAAGATGTCTCGAAAACCTACCGACGTGCCGTCAAAGGAGCGCAACGAATACATCCCGTCGTTTATCGCGCAGAAACCATTCTACATCGACGATGAATCCTCAGCGGCGGATTACCTCGAGCACCAACGTCTAAAAAAGCAGGCTGCGGACTCGAAATGGTACGATCGAGGGAAGCGTGCAGGGCCAGCCGCCACCAAGTATCGCAAGGGTGCTTGTGAAAATTGCGGCGCGATGACACACAAGACAAAAGAGTGCCTGAGCAGACCTCGAAAACAAGGAGCGAAATGGACTGGAAAGGATATCCAAGCAGATGAAGTCCTTCAAGACGTGGAACTGGGCTGGGATGCGAAGCGAGATCGTTGGAACGGGTACGACGCCAGTGAATATCAAAACGTAGTGGAAGAATACGAGGAACTTGAGACCCTCAAAAAGAATGCAAAGAAAGCCATCAGTGGTGCTGAGAATAATGATGAAAGCGACGGTGAAGGCCAGGAAGAAGCCCGGTATGCGGAGGAATCCGACATGGGTCGACAACAGAGCACAGCGACCAGGAATCTGCGTATCCGTGAAGATACAGCCAAGTATCTTTTGAATTTGGACCTCGACTCGGCGAAATATGACCCCAAAACGCGTTCGATGCTTGACCTAGGCGCACAATCCGACCAAGCGTCCGCTCTAGTTGCTGAAGAGAACTTTATTCGCGCATCCGGAGATGCGGCAGAGTTCGAAAGAGCGCAACATTATGCATGGGAGTCCCAGGAACGTGGTGACAAGCAACATCATCTTCAGGCGAACCCAACGTCGGGCGAAATCCTCCGGAAGAGAGAATTGGCCGAAACTGAGGCGAAGCGGAAGGCACAGCGGAAGGCACTTCTTGAAAAGTATGGTGGCGAAGAGCATCTCCAAGCTGCGCCATTGCGCGATGCCGCTGTCATTGAAAATGAACGATTCGTCGAATACGACGAAACAGGTGCGATCAAGGGAGCACCCAAGAAGGCTGTCAAATCAAAATACCCAGAGGATGTACTGGTCAACAATCACAGGTCAGTGTGGGGGAGTTGGTGGTTCAATTTCGAATGGGGCTACGCTTGCTGTCATTCCACGGTCAAAAACAGTTATTGTACTGGTGAGGATGGGCTCAGGGCTAGTAAAGATTCCCGCAACTTGGCAATCCTCGATGCCCCAGACCCAGACGGTGTTGAAGAGCAGGCACAGGAGGAGGAGAGGCCCCATAAAGTGGATGTTGATAGTAAGAAGCGCGATCTTCATGCTCTTCAGCAGGGAATCGACGAAGAAGAGCTCGAGTCGTATAAGCGAAGTCGCATGGATGCAGCCGACCCCATGGCTGCTTTCTTGGGGAAGGATGAGTTGATTCAGTAGCTCACGACTGAATAGCAATTGCTTTTTTGACTTTTGGTCCTTGCGGCCAGTTCATTCGTGATCTTTTAATTTACATACTGCATTGGCATAGGATGGCGTTTTGATTTATACCCGGATAAAACTTCGATATCAGCATACCACTTGATTGATTGATACTTGCATGTACTCGTTAGTTCGATAATGGTATTTCTTGACTACCAGTTGATTTTCCAGATGTTGCTAATATCAATTTGATACGTTCGGTCAGTTCCGCATGTTGATGTTTTGAATTATCATTTAACTGTATAGACTTTCTGATCATTTAGCGTTTAATTTAAAGTAGCTTCAAATATGTCAATTGGTAATATATTTTTCTAGAAGTTAACTTCATTTGGTGATCTTTAGCACTTCAATTTGATATCTGGATGCGGGCTTGAAACAACATCAATTGATTTCCTGTCCGCAAGTCCATGATATATATCTTCATGCTGGACAATTCATACCGTGGACAGCGTTGAACACACAGTCAACCTTAACATCAGCAATCGAGTTCAAACTTATTTAAAATCCCAACCGAACTATTCTATCTACACAACCTCGCTAAAAAAATCACCAGTAAATTGAAAAACTAAATATATGCATTTCATGTCAATTGCCTATCCTTTTTCGTGTTTGATAGTATTGGAATCTTAGACCGGAAGGGTGTATAAAATTTAATGCTTTAATTTGTAGACGACAATAAAACTAAGCGAGAGGAGACACAGCACCATGAAATATATGAAGCAGCTAGATAAACATGAAAGTTGATGAATATCAAGTGCAGAGAAGTTGTACTGGCAAATACCTTGTTCCTGTGGAGCCAATCAGCGCCGATCGGAATGCCCCATATAGGTGGCGCGCTAGTCCTGATGGGATGGGCCGCCGAGGGCTAACCCTAGCCCTGACCACCGCACGACGCTAAGCGATCAAATGGACGGGAAGTTGAACTTGCGACTTGTAGCGATCGACGACGACGACATCAACACCCCTTCAGCAGAATCCAGGTACGTTGTACGCCCGTGCACCCTTGTGTTGTGAATCTCCGACTCAAGAATTCCATGCTGACTATTTTTCCCTCGCCGAACAGACCTTGATTCAAGATGAGTACGTCGTTATTACCCAGCCCTGTCGTTTCGCTCCGCTCGCAGCCTGTGCTTTCGTGAAGGATACACAAAACTGACAACCTCATAGCGAAGGGTACCTCCAGCTTTGGTAAGCGTCACAACAAGACGCACACGCTTTGCCGACGATGCGGTTAGTACACCTTTTTTCCTCTCAAGATTGAAGTTTAGAGGAATTCAAGACTCGAGTATGGATGGACCGAGGAGAAGCATATTACTGACATGCTGTGAACAGGAAAGCGATCTCTGCACATCCAGAAGCACACCTGTGCCAACTGCGGTTACCCTTCCGCTAAGGTCCGGAAATGTACGACTCACCACTCCCACACTGTACCTATCGCATGATACTTATATTTTTTTGAAACAATAGTCAACTGGGGCGAGAAGGCCAAGCGTCGCAAGACCACCGGTACCGGCCGTATGCGCTACCTGAAGACTGTCGACCGCAAGTTCCAGAACGGATTCCAAACGGGTGTCCCCAAGGGCTCCCGTGGCCCCTCGACTGCTTAAATTATAACCGTTAACGAATCCTCTTACTCGTTTTATGTTCCAATACAGTCGATGGAGTTAGGGATAATGGATGTCTAAAAAGCCGTGGGAATGTTGCAACATCTGGAATTCGGGGGATTCGATGGAGGGGGAAGGGGTGTGGTGTGATGAATGACCGACCCAAGACATGGTCAATGGAAGATAATAAACAATATCTTCCTTGACGGTCTTGTTCTTTTTTTCTGGCGACCAAAATACCATTTTTCCGACTTGATGGGGAAAGGCTTTACAACAATGGCGCTTTTGAATTTTTCCTATTTCTATGTTGGTACCCATGTCTTACACCCGACCGATGGGCAAATTCATCATGTCAATTGCAAAAAATTTTCATGACAGTTCGGATACATCAAGAATGAACTGTTGAATTCAAATTCAATACCCTTCAGAAATTCTACCAGCATGCAGTCTAACTTGTAGGTCTCGAAAACTCGGCTTCTTATTATTATTCTACGCCTCCCCTCTCCCAAATACCCTCACACCACCGTCTCTTTGCACAAAATACAGAACCTCTTTATCCTCTACCGCGCCATCTGCGATATCTTCGAACCCACCACCTTTGCTTATCCTCAACACCCCACTAACATCCTTCGCCGCGCCTGTGTCCAATGTCCTCAACTGCATTACCATTCGCGCTTGATGTGCCAATCCGATAACGAATGCCGAGTGCTGTGTTTCAAGCGGCGCAGCTATCCCTTCTTCTCCTGCTGTATATGCGTTGTGGACCAGAGGCGAGTCGGCGGATGCGGTTATTACTGTTGAATGGACGTGCTGTTTTTTTTTGTTTTGCACGTGTTAGCTCGTGCTCTCAAGCCAGCCTCAGGGTGTACGTGTCCCACAAACCTGTTGTAGCCCAGTAATCCAGTCAGACATATCCGTAGCATCAACACCCGGAGTCGCCGCAAGAAGCAGATCCGGTTGATCCAGGATCAAAAGCGTATCGTCCTCGTCCGTTGACTTTATCGAAGATATGACAGAAACAATATCCTTTTCCAGACCATCCAACGCGGCGCTTCCATGGCCAGAAGCATGTAGCTGTTTTGGCGCAGAGCTGCTGCTGTTGCTGCCAGCTGTGGTAGTGCT